CTCAGCGCTCAGCACGGCGCACAGCGGAGCCCAGCGATGGCAGCAGCGAGCGCCCCAATTGCCAGGCAAGGCCACAGAGGTGAGGTGGACCCGAGCTCAGGCTGGGGACTCACGTCAAGGCTGGAGCAAGTCCCGCGTGGGCGCCTGGGGCTAGTCCCAGGCGGCTGACGAGGTTTGGCGCGGGGGACGTTGGGCCTCAGCAGCTGCACGTCTTGAGGTGCTCCGGAGCGCACGCAGGCAGTGCAGGGAGCACGGAGCTCCCCGACGTGGTGCTGACGGCCATGCGGTCACGCAGCCCCTCACACCGGATGGGACCCTGGGAGGTGCCCGCGCGCCCGAGCAGGCAGTGCGGGGAGCAGGGAGCTCCCCGACGCGGCGCTGACAGCCATGTGGTCACCCAGACCCTGGGAGGGCGCCTTGTAGGTGCTCCGGAGCGCACGCAGGCAGTGCGGGGAGCACGGAGCTCCCCGACGCGGCGCTGACGGCCATGCGGTCACCCAGGCCCTGGGAGGGCGCCTTGCAGGTGCTCCGGAGCGCACGCAGGCAGTGCGGGGAGCAGGGAGCTCCCTGACGCGGCGCTGACGGCCATGCGGTCACCCAGACCCTGGGAGGGCGTCTTGCCCAGCCCTCTGCCCAAAGCAGCCCCAGCTCCTGCAGGCTGCCGCGCTGCCAGCTGGGGTTTGAGCACTGGCAAGGACAGAGATCCCACAAACTCTCTGGGCAACCCATGCCAATGTCTGACTACCCTCATAGTGATTTTTTTTTCTAATTTCAGAAGATTTCTAATTGGAAACTTCCTTTTTGCTTCTGAGCTTTGCCAGGGGTACCTGGTTCAGCTATGCTGGCCTTCTGCCACATTAGTTCCACTTTCCACGTTGAAATGGAGCAGCCTTTTCCTTTAGACATTTAGTGTTTGAAGATGCAGCAGATCATCAGGGTGCAGCAGAGACCATTTTCAAAAAAAGCTTCTGAGCTTTATCGGGAGGAAGCTGGTATTTTACCAGGAGACTGGTTTTGTAGAAGCTGCCTTCCCTTTTGCATTCATACATGGCAACACTGGCATGGCTTGCTTAAAAAAAAAAAAACAAAAAAAAAAACAAAAAACAAAAAACCAACTTTCTTGGGTATTTTAAACCTTCTTTCCTAGCACTGTGTACATTTATAAAGATAAATAGGAGAGCTTGGGTCTATGCATTAGAGTGCTGAGAGATGAAGATGTGCTGTCCTGCTGTCTCTCTTGGCAGGCTTAGTGGAAATGGCTGCGTTTCCCCTAAAACATTTTCTTTCCTGGGACTAAATACGTCACTGAATTAAATGCAGTGCTGTTAATTTGGAAGCCTGTGACAGCCAGTGAGTGGACACAGTCTCGCTGTAGCTAACTATTACCAACATGAATTTAAATGAAAATACTCTGTAAGCAAACTGGGGCTCTTTATTTAAACTTGCAAAAGCATGTTCATGAGAAATGATTTTACGTGCCAAGTTATGGAAGTGACACCATAATCCTAGTCACAATGGGAACTGAAAAGCGTGCTAGTAAAGCAAACTTTTGAGAAATCTCTTAATAATTTTCTGTGCTTTTTGTCACTTGCAATCCTTCAGCAAAATGTTTTCCATCTAACCAAAGAGAAGGGAGAGGGAAGAAGTAGACAAGAAGAGAGCCTGGGGGAAGGCAGGTATTAATTGTATTTACATTTCAAAGACAAGTTAACTGCTGTGCTCTTAATCATATTCTCCATTCACATTCTTTGCCACACACCATGAGCAATACACTTAAGAGGGTAGAATAAGGGACCCAATAGGTTCCTTCCACTTTTAATTTCTTGGGTGATATTAATTTGAGAGGTCAGTATAAATGTCTATGATAAGTGGCAATTTTAGGCCAGTAATAACTAATTAAGACAGAAAGCAAGATGCTGGCTAAGGCACTTTCAAAGCGATCACAGATAACCTTGAAGGAAGTGATTAACTCAAATAGAGCACATCCTTAGGTGATAGCTACCGAATGGTATTGGAGTGATTTTTAAAATTAAAAGGGATGAGGAAAAAGCCGTTATGAAACTCTCAGCTGAGTTTTCTCTGGAGAAGGAATTTTGATAATAAGTGGGATTAGCTTCTTTGCCAATTAGCAGACAATTACAAAAAGAAAAGACGTTTACTCAGTGGGCAAAACCTTTTATGATAGACTCATACTCATCAAACCTGTTTATTCTGAAGGAAGATAACAGTGTCTTAGCTCTGCTGAGGTGAGCAGTACTGGCCACAGCCAGCGTGCCAACTTCACATCACCTCCAAAAGCTGCGATGAGATGGTGTTCAACGTGGCAATGTGCGCAACGCTGCGCTCGTGGGCCCTTGGTGCCTACGGACTATACCTAAGGGGTCCGTGAAAGGGGTTAGGACAAGTAAAGTGACCCTCTCTGACACCTGAAAATGAGAAAGAGAAGGATGTTGGTTATATTAATTTTAGTACTTCTAACCATGATCATTACTGGCAAATCAGAGGCACTGGAAGCTTTTCTGAAAGTGTCCCTTGCACAGCTGAGGCCTCAAATGACTGTAACTTCACAGTGGTAGATGAGCCCCAAAATTAAGATTCCTCCTAGTTAGGTTCCATGCTGTCTCTGTGAGGTGGATCTTGTTTAGAAAAAGCTGTGGAGCAGAAAGGCCAGGCTTGGCATTAGCAGGAGTCTAGTGGTGACTTACCGCACTGGCAAGCACTGGCAGCAATGAGCATCATTGGCTCAGTTAGTGCTGGAGCAAGGTAAGCATGGGGGTTGGACTAGATGATCTCTAGAGGTTCCAACCTTAACCATTCTGAGTGTGTGCATGTGTAAAGCTTTAAAGAGGAACAGTCACCTTCAGTTTAAATATCTGCGATGGTTTCCAGAAAAACTAAACATCAGATGTGCTTGGGGGCAATGACTGGCTGGCAGCTACAATCAAATACATGTTTCCAGTATGTTCCTGTGGGTTAACAACCTGTTGAAAACTAGGAAAACACATGAAGCGACAGCTTGATCCTGCAATGTGCTGCTACTGTTGTTCAGTATGACCCGAAGTTGCATTAAAAAACAGGCAACTCTATCAACTCCTTCTGACAATGGTAATAATGAATAAAACAAAGGGAAGTGTGGGTTCAGATCAGAATGGCAGCAACATTTGATAACTGATTTTTTTTCCCACTTGCACAAGGATACTAACATTTAAAGAAAAAAAAAGGAATCCTGCAGAGGCAGCCATTACAGATGGGAGAGACTGATTAGCTCCCCCAGCTATTTCCCCTGAAAATGCGAGATGTATGATACAGCCGACGTGAACTCCACGGAAGGAAGTAAAGGAAATGTGATTACAGGTATTACATCCAAATTGAATTAAAGCTGCATTAAAAAACTCAGATTAGTTCATGGTTCCATACTACTTTTGAAAACATGGTATCTCTTATTGATAGACACAGAAAGAATATGCAAAGGCATATTTATCAGAAAATAAGATTGATCTCTGACTTGCTGATTCATGAATCCACAGACACAAAGGTAGGAAGTTAAATTATGGACAGGCCTCCCTAACACAAAGATAATCGTGCTGTTTGGGAATCTTGTTTGATTATTTTTCTTTTAAACCTTTATCCCATTTTATGTGACCTTAAGCACGGTTATTTACCCCAGTAAACATGACCAAGTACCAATAAAAACTCCATAGTGAAGCTGATGTTTGCATAGATAAAAGCATTATTATTATTGCATATTGATGCTAATAAATCTTTTCTCAGTTGACTGTCAGTCAACTGGACTGGAGTCATTCATTCTGTGCTATGCTTACTCAGTGTACAGTTTTAAAGGAGTTATTAATCACAGAATCACAGCATGGTTGAGGTTGGCAGGGACCTCTAGAGATCATCTAGTCCAACCCCCTGCTCCAGCAGGGACACCTAGAGCATGTGGCACAGGGTGGCATCCAGGCGGGTTTGGAAGATCTCCAGAGAAGGAGACTCCACAACCTCTCTGGGCAGCCTGTTCCAGGGCTCTGTCACTTAGTCTTTCCTCATACGATAGATGTTTGAGTCCCTTAGTCATCTTTGTCGCTCTACACTGGACCCTCTCTAGAAGCTCCACATTCCTCTTGTCCTGGGGAGCTCAGAACTGCCCACAATAATCCAGGTGCAGCCTCACCGGAGCTGAGTAGAGGGGCAGGATTCCCCTTTGGGATTCTAGCAATAACACTAAAATCTGTATTAGATCTGTATGAGTTCTCCAAGTTGAGCTGACAGTGAGAAAGATGAACTTAGTTGGAATATACATGTCAAGCTCATTTTTAAGGCTGGTATTTTATATTTTGGGGGTCATGTACTGGCATGTACATGTACTGTTTGCTTTCTAGGCTACAACTGTTAATGGCCAAAGAGAAGGATCTCTGGACTAACAGGGTCACCAGTTACTGTCTCTGCTGCAAGAACTATATACATACATAATATATGGTAATTCTTGTTAAGACTGCCTGTCTAGTATGAATATGTTTCATATATGCTGGCAAAGTGAATTGTAATAATAAAAATGCATCTTTCAATTACTTCCCATGTTATGTTACATCAGGTGGCAGAGCCCAATAAATTCTGAAGTAAAAAGAAGGCATGAATGAGTGTGTAGTTATAAATGAGCAACAAAAACTTTTAATATACACATAAAAACCAATCCAGCAATCCACTTCCAATAGTATTCTACCTTTCAAGTAACAAAACACAGCTGGCAGCTATTTATTAAAAGGGATCATTGTGCTAAAATGTGCTCAGTATGAAATAATGCCTCTGGAAAAAAATATTTCAGTAGAAATGTATTTTAAGAACAAAATCAAAGACAACAAAGTCACTGAGCCCGAGAGCTTCACAACTCTGTCCTCCTCATAGTTCCCCCTTGCCCCTGAACAAACCTGAGGCTATGAAAAGCTTCAGCAGAGATTTTCAAAGGTGCTGAGGTTTCAAAAGGAAGAAAGCCCCAAGTGTTCTCTGCGCCTTTCAGTGGCAAAGTTCCCCTAGATCTTCCACACTTCTGTCTTTTCTGCAATCACACACCAGTTTGCATGGTCAAAGTAGGAATCAATAACGTGCAGCTCCGGGATATGACGTTCTATCAGTTCAACCAACTCCCCTTCTTTAAAAACGTGGTAGTAGCGCAGGCAGGCCCCGCTGGGCCCCGGCCGGCCCCGGCTGCGCGGGGCGCTCTCGTCGAGGGCTTTCTGTGGAGCGCGGCCTGCGCCGGCCTTGCTGGGAGGTTCGCACCAAGCTCCCTGTTTTGGGTGATGATCTCGTTTGAGTCGCTGTCCAACAGCTAATTCCTTCTGATGTGAAATGAGGTCAGGTAAGCACTCCGTGCTGCCATTGTGAATGCTCTCTGCAGCCACCGGGAGCTGTAGAGTCTCTTGGCCTAGTTCTGAGCAGCGACTTCTGACCGCCTTGGTGCCATGGGACATGGGCAGCATAGGTTTAACAGCCACTTCAAGAGCTGTTGTATTTTCAAAACTCTGTTTGCAGTGTAGAAAAAAGTTGGAAACATGTTTCAGAAAGCCCCACTCCCTGTTTTTTTCAGTTCTCTTTTTTCTGTTTAATTCATTCAGCTGAGCACTGTAATTGCGATACCTAATGAGCTCTTCTCGGTGCCGCTGATTACCCAAGTCTAATACTGAGTCAAGCGATCTCGAGAACAGAGACCATCTCAGCGATTTATCCAGCACTGAGCACAGAGTTTTCCCCCTGCCTCCACAGGAAGAACTTCTGTTTTTCCTGCACCCCTCCAAAGTGTCATCCAAGTTACAGCAGCACTGGTGCAAAGCCAGCTTTTTGTCCTTGTGAAGAATGGATTTTTGTATTCCAGGGGAACAGGGATCACCCAAGGAGCAGGAGGGAGGTGAAGGGTTCCACGGCACAAAGACGTCCTGCTTTTCGAATCTCCTCCGTTTTTGCTCCATTGCCCACACGTATATCATTATCTGGCCTCCTACTCTCAAGATGCGAGCCATCTCCCTTATGGCTCGCGTGCGCCTCTCTTCCGTGGAAAAGTGGTGAATGACTGCAACAGAACATAGGAGGTGAAAAAATATCCCTTATAAGGCACTAGTGAATACAGGGTATGAAAACTGGTTCTGCCCCACTGGCAGCCCGTGGTTTGAACCTCAGGAACAGATCATTTATCTTTTATTGTGCTACGTGTTACTCTCTAATATGCATTATCTCTTAATATGTTATCTCATAATATTCTAACTTATTTTAAGAGCACAGCTGAATTTAGAAACCCATTGTCACAAGTGACATCTTCCAAATCAGCAGTAAACAGCAGAACAGTCTCCTTTGCTCAATAAAAAGTTACCACTCAGTTAATGGCAAAGCAACCTGGCCCCTTTTAATGCTCACTTAAGGCTCATCAGTAGTCTGAAAGAAGCACTTCTGAAATCAAGTCCTTGCACTGTCTTGCAGCAGCAGCGCTAGTGATTCTGCTGAAGATACCCATTAATAAAAAACTAAGCTAAAGCTGCTTATCCATTTCTCTTCATTGATAAGGCATCAAGCAATAGGGCAATAAGAATGACTGGTCATGGTTGCTCTTGGATACATTTAGACCATTAATTATAAAGGTGAAAGACACTTAGCTATATAACAGTTGTCTGGGCCTGCCATTTATAAGCATTTTCTTGAAGATTAATAATTAGATAATCCAACTCTTACTTGATAACCACAAACACCATACAAACATGCCTGGCTTAGGGAATGGCTCGTAATTGTGATGGTGAAATTCAACTAGCAGAATGAGTCAGAATCAAGTCTAGATTTCACTCAATTTTCAATAGATTTGAATATTTTTTCAATAAAAAACTGCCCTCAAGCGGGCAATTGGTCTCAGAATTCGAAGAAATTTGCCTCATATCAGCTCTGCAGACAGCTCCTGCTCTGGAACTGAGGCAGGTCTGAAGCAATTTTGAGTGGAGAGGGGTTGATCAGGTCCTGGTGCACAACAGAGACTTCAGTTGTGTTTTAGCTGTGCTGAATGAGTGATGCTACATGAGAAATAAGAGTATTAAACAGTCCTGAGGTAGTGCTGGAAAGGATGAATATTGAAGATGTTGAACCACAAAAGCAGTAGAACTAGTTGTACTTGGTCAACTCTCTTCTTCTATTTTCTTCAGTGGAAACGCCTGTGCCACATCCTGCAGATATTGCTACACACGAGACTTCAGGGTGCAATAAAATAGTTTTGGGATACACTATTGAGATGTTGGTTCCCACAAGAAAATAAAAGCCCCTTCAAGGAAAAAAAAACGCAAACTTTCAACTATTTATAGAAACATTGTGTGCGGGCAACGTGTCAGAGTTTGCTGGAATGACCACAATTCACCATCAGATCCATTTTGCTTTGGAAAAATAGACACTTTAAAATTACAAGAATAACAGCATGAAATCCAGCTGAGATAAGAAAACACTCTCCTTGCAATGAATAGTGCATTTGGTGCCTGTGCAGCAGTGTGAGGATCAAAAGATGAGCTTTAAAGAAATACAGCCTTTTACCATTGCTCTGTCTGTATGTTTTACTTATTTAAGATGAACAGAAATCAATTCCAGAACGCTCAGGCCTTACAGCAGTAGTTCAGAGTGTGGCACTGAAACATTACGGTCTTTTTAATTCAAAAGACGTCAAGTACCATTTAAGTAATTACAGCTTATTAATAAAAATCTCACTCTGAGGAAAAGCTTAGTGCTGTCACAATGAATTTGGGTGATTATCTTAAAAGCTATGGGTGATGTATTACATTCATGTATAACCCAAGGAAAGGAGGAGAACTTCTCCTGGGGCAACATCAAACAATACTGAACGAGAATTACTGGACACTATTGTTTTTAATCAAAGATGAACTTGTCAGGGACCATGATTCCACAGTCACATTCACCTAAAATAAGCTATTTATAACAAAATCATTTAATTCTTTTTTTTTACATTAACTTCTTTATATGTTGAAATTGTGTTTAAAGTGAATAGTCAGGTGCTACATCAAAGATGGAAGGAACTGCCCACTGTAGCAGGCACTGAGGTATAAATATTCCCTTAGGTCTGATTTCACTCCAGCAGCAAGATGAACCTGCTCCTCCGCTCTCTTTAAACCCCAGGATTTGCTTTAGTTTGCCCCATCCGGACCTGATGCCATGAACAGGCCTGACACCTTTGGACCAGGCAGTAATGGCTCAGATCAGCCTGTCCTGCAGCGCCCCGTGTGCGCGCGGGCAGGAGGCACTGGGGCTGACACGGCAATGATCTCCCACTGGAGGCCATTTCACACCTTCCAAGCACAATACAAGGGTCCCTGGGCATTTGTCAACGGCCAGTTCTTTAAATGAAGATTATTTTTGTCCTAAGTCACAAGATATGTAGAGGCTTGAAGGTGATGAAAATAGCATGAGTAAAGGAAAGCACCATTCTGCGCTCCACCAAAAACGCATCCAGGCCCAGACTGTGGCAGCAGCCAGCACCAGATGTTTGGGAAAAGGACAGGGTTCCGTCTGTTTAAATCTTCTCTTGTCACAAGAAACCATGGAGATTTGCTTGCTATTCACTAGCTTCCTGTCAGCTGTGGGTTACAGAATGCTATTGTGTCTCTCTCCATAGGGGTAAGGTGTATGCACCTCTTTTATATGATAAACCTCTTCAATCAGGTGAAGGATCCCAGCCTATTACTCTATCCTCACACAGAAATAGTCTGTACCTTTGGTCAGCCTAAGGACCTTGACTAATGCTTCTGTACCCCTTTAGAGACGGGGAAAACCTGAACATCATGCAGTATTCAAGATATTGTTGCAGCAGTTATTTATCTTGTGCCATAGTGATATTTGCTTGAATTTTTTCTTTTTTTTTTCTTAACATTTGAATACTTTTTTTGATCACGTTTGAACATCGAGTTAACATTTCCAGAGAACTGAAATTACTCTGATAATAACTTCAATATCTCTTTCCTGAACAGGAATAGAGGGTACCACTGTGAATTATCGACAAGTCTTTTCCTGCAACTTTGCACCCAGTCATTAGTTTCACATGAGACCCTTTATTGAAGCTCTGTGCAGTCATTTATCCTGGAAAACTCTGTGTCATAAGCAAACTTTATCAGTGCGCTGTTCATTTTGTTTGTAGGCACAAATTATACAGGAATCAGTTGAACAGCAGCCTTTTAATGGGTGCCACACACCTACGCTCAGCCATCAGCATCGAGTTGTGCAGCCCTTTCCACACTTGCCTGCTTGCGTTTCACCCTTCTGCCTTTTCCTTTCGATTAAGTCTCTTCATTTCTGGTATTTAATTCTTATGCAGTATAGTTTCTTAAGCATTTTTGTTCCTGTCAGGAGACTCGGCTATGCCGCATTATGGTCCATGATAGAAGGTTGTTTTCCTTTTGGGGTTTCCCTGATTAGTCTTTCCAAAGGCACCATGCCCCCGTGCATCATTTGCACAAGCCGCACAAGGATCATCGCAGTTTCCCGATATTGCATTTTCTGCCCTCACAGCTCTTGCAGTCTCTCTTAATATTTTGTTGTCCTTTTCACTGTGTTTAGCAGACAGCTAGTGATATATCCGTGTTATTATACTGTTCTTTTGGGTAGCTTTTTGCCCACTATCCCTTCATCCAGAAGGTTATCCTCACCCTTTTTCTACAGAACCTTCAGTGCTTTCCAGCTGCCGTGCAACACTTCTGTGCTCTCATAGCAATAGTTAGAAAAAGAAAAAAACCTCTTAAATTCACAATAAATATCCACTGCCTTTAATGAAGGACACTCACATGATCCTGATCATATGAATCAGCACTCTGATATGGATGATAGGGACAAGTAGGAACACATTCAAATTTATTTTATATCTTTATATATTTTATATTTTTTATATTTAAATGCAAAAGTAAAGTCAATCCAAATTACTTTTGTACATGCACTGTTCTTTCCTGCAGCTTTTTTTCTTGCCGAAAATTGAAAGGTTTTCCATAACTAAAAGATGCACATGTAATTTAGATTTTGCATGGAGGGGGTGAGGAGGAAAGGAGAACATTTCCAAGATTTTTCTCTTCTTCATTTCATAAGAATATAATTAATTGCTCCTTCTCTTCATTTAATACTGTGACTAATCCTACTAAAAGAGATTATTTAAACAAGCAGACAATGTGCACTACATTTTTATGTCTTTCAGCTGTCTTCAGAGAACAAAACTGAAAGCACCAACAACTTTGAATTTTTTTCAGAAGTCATTTTCAAAATGAGTATTTTAGGTCAGTGATTCAATTTAAACCCTGTTAAATAGCAAAGAAATCTGTGTAATCAGAAATTACTTTTTTCTGTCAAATTTCCTTACTGAAGCTAAATCCCTTTAGAGGCATTTGGAAAGTATTTAAGGATCACAGAATTTTTATCTCAGAGACTCTTTTTGTGTACAATGTATATATACTTCAGATGTTACTTTATCTCTGTCAGTTCTAATAATAGGAACAACTGGAACAGAAGGCATTTCACATGATTATAAGTTAAATATTATTCTTTTCACTAGGATGGTATCAAAAATAAAAAAGAGAGGGAAACTACTAATATACCAAAGAACGACTTTAAAGCATTTCTGAGTAAACTTCAAACAATGCTTCCATTATATTTTTCTATTAAAAATGTAACTCCTTAATTACTTAGATTGCAAAATCTTTACCCTCTTTAATTTTCGCATATGTATATTTGGCATTAACAAATGAGGATACTGCCTTTATAAAAATCATTACAATTATGAAATTTAATTAACTTATTAAAGTCTTGATTAGGGAAATACAATTATATGCTTAGTTTTAAGCATCTCAGGAGCCAGTCTGGTTTCAGGGGGTTTAAACCAGCACTGATAGGACTGTGTGTGTCTCCCACAGCGCGTGTGTCTGTCATCTCTGAGGCACAGCTTGTAGAGAGACCAAGCAGATATAACAGGATCCAGCTTTACAGGGATTCATGTGGTTTACTTGAGCAGCAAATACGGATTTAGGAAAGATTTAGACATCTGAGTAGCAATCA